CTAAAATAAAAAACAATTTGTTTAATTATATGTATTTATTATAGACTATAGACTATAATAAATCAGAATATTCAATGGAAAATAATGATAATTATGAATTAAATCTTAAATTATACAGACTGACAAATTTGAGCCTGAGATCAGAGTACCTATACCTATTTTGAAATCGAACTTTTTTCACTTTTAATGAAGATAATTTTGAGGTTATGTGATCAATGTTGTAAACATTATATTAGTTTTCTTTAAAGGACTTTTTATGGTTCAAATGTGGCTTGATTTTCGTGATATAATAATTTCTGAAGGCATAAGATTACTTTAAGCAAAATTTTATATTGATATGAAACTTTATTCCGGGAAAACTTTCGTGTGGCATTAAGTTAAATCGTAGACAGACCAGTTTCAATATCAATGATTTTGAAATATTTTAACTTAATAGGAAGCAGTCATAAGTTTATTCTCCAATAAATGGAATTCATATTCATTTATTTTAATAATTAATAAATTTTAAACATTATCGCTTGTATTTATAAAAAAATCTTATTTTGCTTTTAATGTAGAGCCCTGCATGAGTAACGCTATTTGCTACACACAATGAGTGACTCATTGCTTTGCACTCAACTCATTGTTTGTTTAGAATAGCATTTACAAAGTTTTGTTATACTCAAACGTTGTGAGTACTATCAAGTGAATGTGCAACTACATTCAAATCGAGCGAGTAAACAATTTGTTTATGTTAAAACAATACAAAATAGATTGTTTGAATCGAATGAATCGATTCAAACTTTTTCTTGAATAAATGGTGAAAATTTTGAATGCTGTTAAAACTAGTTCCTGTGGCCCGAATTCGCTGAAATTTGGTAGTCTTGAGTACAATTGATGACAAGATAATATTATGTTCGAATATTCGAAATTAAGTTCGAAAATTCGAAGTTATGTTCGAAAAATTTTTTATGCTTTTAAATTATTCTTTGAGTCCAAAAAACTAAAAAAAAATTTTGAAAATTCGAACTCATGTTCGAAAAAATTTAAAGCTGATAAAACCAGTTTCCGTGGACCAAATTGGCTGAAATTTGGCAGTGATAAGTACAGTTGATGACGCTACTATATTATCTTCGACTATTCGAAATTAAGTTCGAAAATTCGAAGTAATATTCAAAAATCTGTTAATTTGTCGAACTTAAAAATTGTTTTGCTTTCACTCGATTCACTCACTGTATACTACTTGAATTGAATCACACAAACACTCTCATTACTTGTTTCGTTTGAATTGAGTATTGACTAACATTCCTTATTTTCAAATATACTATTCATTTCATTCATAAAACAATGAGTGAGTCAAACACAGTGTTTGAAAAAAATCAAATGTTTTAATTTATTATTTAAGTCACTCATGCAGGGCTCTATTTTAATGCACTCAATAGTTAAAGCACACTTTAGCCTTAAAAACCATTAATAAAATTGTGATATTCATAAACAAATAATAAACGTATATTAACTATTGTGCTGATTTATGTTTAAGTTGGCAGCACTGTACAATATGGCTGTCATTTTATGTGTTAGTGTTGCGTACAATTAGGATAAAATATTCGTTGATTCGCTTTTCTTAATTTCATATTTTTGTTTATAATAGATTTTTGACAATAAAAACAAACTTTTAAGAAAAATAAATATATATATGGCTTTAATAAATGTCTATTTATTTCTGATGTATAAATATAACATATAATTTCTAATTATTATTAAAAGTATCCGAATAACGGATATTTTGCGACAAAATATACATCACTATGACACATTTTCTTATTTTTACTTATTTTCCTTGTAATTTTTGATAAATTTTTGCAAATATTGATAAATTTCTTTGATATTTGACTAATTTTAATGCCGGCGAATATATTTTGCATTAGTATAACACTAATCAATATAATTTACATGGTTAATTACTTTATGGCATTATATTTAATCAACAAACTTTGAAAAAGCCAAAATAAATGATTTTGTCCATCATTTGGTGGACAGACGGGCACTTCCAAATTGCCTAAAAATAGTGCTGGACAATTGGAATATTGTCAAATATTCATGCATTAATCCAATAATGCCTAGATTTGAGTTTTTTCCTCAAAATATAATCGTTTAAAGATTTTCTGGGATTTTATTTACAAATTTGTAAACGTTAAAATTAGAATTTTTAGATTTTATTTTAAAAGAAACCATAATTAGTTTTCGCAATCAACCTAAAATTACCGGAAAAATCTTTATCTGAGAAAAAAATTGTTAAAAAACAAATTTATGTTGGCTTAAAGAAGGGTCGAGCCTACAATAAAATTCTTCTAATTGTCAATGGTTTATTGAAGGTGTTTTAAGCTATTTCACGTTTATAAATACGATTTTCCTGAATTTTGCCTAAAATTGTTTAATAAACCTAAAATAAGTTTTCATAAATACAGCCGTATTTCTTTAGAATTATTATTCTAAACAGACAATTATTTCTCTAGCTAGCCTATTAAAGTGTTATAAACGTTTATTATTGTATTATTTTGTAAAAAAAATATAAATATTACAATAAACTTAAACAATTTATAATTATTTATTTAATAAGTATGCCAGTAAGCAAGTAATTAATTAATTAAGGCGTCATCAAGTTTAGTCGGTTCAGTTTTTTTTTGTATTTTATTTTATAATGATGTTATTGTCGTCAACAACGTTAGTAATGATGATCATGATGATGGTGGTGATGACCTTAAACAGCCAACGCCTTCAATTAATAGTCCGAGTAGTTGAAAATATATAAATGTGAGTGCAAAATGCAGTGATAATATTTTCACAAGACAAAAAAAATTACATGCATTTAATATGCAAACAAACAAACAAACAAACAAACAAATAAATAAATATTGAACAAACAACTGAAATGTAAACAATTATTTCAAACAAAGACCTCAATTTATTACAACACGTGTAGTATTATTGCTGTTATTGTTGTTGTTGTATTCGAGGCAGGGTACAAGTAGTGAATGTATTATTGTTTACAAATAATTAGTTTTATGTCCATCACATCATCACCAGTAATCATCACCAGTAATCGACCAACCAACCCGACCACACTTTAAAATGGAAAGTGAGGGCGCAAATGATCCGTATGGTGTTTTATTATTTTGATGAAATATTGGGATCTTTTTTATTATTGGCAATACAGAATTAAAAGGCGCAGTTCTATCAGATTTTCTGCTGATCAGAAATTTGGAAAACAAAGGCCGATAAATAGTAATTTCTAAGCTGTTGGTAGGTTAACGAGACAATTGACTCATAGGACATTGGGACCATGAGCTGGTCTCCAAGGTTTCAGTAAACTCCATGGATTCTTCTACGCCCGCATTACGACAACTCCTAGATAAGTCATTAAGTGGGATATTTGGTCTACTAACGTACGTTGGCAGAATGGCTACAAACGATTGATATTACACCCGCAAAAGCATCAAGAATTCTGCGACCTAATGTCTAATTGATTTACATCAAAGAGAGGAACACCAAATATTGTGTTGATTTCCTCTTCGTGTAGGAGAGAGCAAGTTATTATCTTTATTACTCCCAGATACATCTGAATCATCTGATACCAGGGTAGCTCTATGTTCGAATGGTTTGCCATCTCATTAAGAGATACCCGACATTCCAGAACCAGTTTGGATATCGTGTAGACAGCAGATAAATATCAAATAGCAAGTCTACAAATTTGAACATTCGGATATTCTCTGATACCTCATCAAGTTTGACGCCGTTTTAAAGTCGAGCCGATTGAGTCAATTTTGCAGAGTATATATATACTGCAGAGTATATATATATAGTATGACCTCTCACTTCTCATGATCATCAAACCGCTGCTAAAATCTCTGCTCACACACTCATACAATTCTAACTGGAGATTTCTATGGAAAAGATATGACTTGTCTTTTGTCAGTATATCGGAAGACGGAGAGCTTTTTTCTTCTTTAGTTTGTTGTCAAGGTTCAGTTCCTCTTTGTCTCAGAGAATGAGAGACAAATATCTTGTGGGGCTTTGATTTGATTTGGCCGACGTGCTCACCTTCACAATATCGTACTTGCCTTTGTGTTCCTCCTCGTAAATCTATGATTGAAGATTTCTTTGGAAATGCTATGTCTGGGCTGTATTAGTATATTGTATGTCTTTTTTTCTTCAGCTTCAGCTGCTAGCTACTCGAGACATCGCGATCTATTTTTCAATATCTTTATTTAAAGTAACCTAGCCCAGGCCAAAATCGGTTATAAATTTCTTTTTTGTTTTAAGAGGTTAATAGACAATCCGATATATCCTTTGGATTGACCTGGGATTGACCTAATTTGATCTTTTGCAACATCTCCTTCAATTTTCTACTTTGAGTCCTCTGCTTTTCTTGTTGGGATTATCAGAGGATTCAGAGTCGGAACCCTCAGAGGAATTTAAAGGTTTGGAATGCTTAGAGTGTTATCTCCGAGTACATCCATGACATTCAGCTCCGTCCGCCACGGGCAACTGGTTATTTAGATCTTTAATTGTTATTTGATCTTTCCATTGATTGCTTTGTATCCGATATATCCTTCCGATTATACCAATATGATTGCTTGTTAGATCCTATATTGTTATTAGATCTTTCCATTGATTGTTTTGTTTTGTAGAGAAACATTCCCATAGTCATTTATGGTCCGCGTGAACTACATAAATCGCGAAGATGGTGGGCATTCTCTACTCCCTCCCCTTAGGAGAAATCATAAGTGGAGGAGTACAGATTATGGCGACGCACTCGGTAAGTGGTTTAAGAGGAATATTTCGTTTAAGTTTAATTGATCACAGAAAAATTTACTGATAAATCTTTTTATATATATATCACAAAATCGGTGGACCAATTAGACATAATAGTTTCAGTAGTGTTTATATAAGATTTGAATATAATAAACTTATTTTTTAAACAGATATAAATCAATTAAAAAAACAGCAAAAATACTTACAATTATGGCCAAATAATAACGATAATCATATGGCAAAGGACCATCGCCATTCATAATAAAATTTTGAGTTCTTAAAAAATGATCCAAAAAACGTGGATGATAACCGATCACCTGCGTTACTTGATCTAATTCGAGATCATCCATATTGTATTCACGAACCGAACACTGAAAGAAAAGAAAATAATTATAAAAATCTGAATAAACAGTTATATATTATAAGTTATAATTTATAAAGTATAACTCTTTCCTTTACATTACTGTACTTATAACTAAATGTTTTTTTAAGATTTAAAAAAATATAAAAACAAATGGCTGACATTACAAAACCACTAAAATCAACATGTTTTTGTATTTTCTTACATTTAAGGCCAAGTTTGGTTTATAATTTCTTTTGAAAATATATTAAATTACTTGTCATTTGTTATTGTTAATTGTAATAACTACAAAATTATAATAAGTTTAGAATAAATAGAAAAGAAAATTACATTCTAAAGTCACCACAAAGCAAAGTGCAAAAAAAAAAGTATTGTGTGTTTGAAACTTAAAACGTTTAATGGAAAAGTTATAATTTGCAGCTTACAGCTACAATTGCAGCAGCTGGCGGCAAGACACAGTATTTAATATTTCACTACCAAACCCAGCAAGTGAAAATTTTACTCTAAAGTCAGCTTGTTTTACATTATTGGTCTTACCAAAAAAAAAAAAAAAAAACACACACACAATGACAATTTAAATTCCATTTGATTGCTCAAAACAAACAAACAAAATAGCAAATAAACAATTTTAAATAAAAAAATTAAAAAAAAAAAAAACTATTTAAACAAACATACATTTTTAACCAAATAAGAAGAAAACAACTCATTTTATATGGAAGAACTTTGTACTGGTACAATAAACCGCCTGTAAAACACTGAAACGTAACAAACTATGTATGAAAAAAAAAAAAAAAAAAACCGAAACAATTATAGTCGTAACACTGTGCCCCGGGATGGGTTGTGATGTGACACGATGTGTTTGTTCATGTTTATTCAAAAATGGTCTTATGGCACACGTACGTGTTTTGTATTTCAGTTTTTTTGCGCTATTTGTCAGAAAATTAAAAAAAAAATAAACATTAATGTTTATACCACGGCGACTTGTTAAATAAAGAAAAAAATGTGTATTTGTTAATTTGTTACAACAAAATACACTTAATTGTATATAAATGAATAAATACATACTTATATATAATTATATAGATAATATACCTAAACGTATTAAATTGCAAAAACAAAGAAATTTTATCCTATTGAAGACGTGTTGAAATGGGGATATTTATCAATAAGTTAAGATATCATTATTGTCGTACTAGGTGTACGACCTTTGATTAAAATTATTAAATTTTGATTACACCATTTCTAATTGATTCCTTCTTTCAATCAATTTAAAGTTCTCTCACTTTCCATTAAAAAAACCGACCTGACTTTATCTAAGAGTCAGGAACCCTGATCTTTCTCTCCACACACTCATTAGCACAGATGAACAAAGCATAAATATCCCCCTGAAAGTTTGAGAGATATTTTTTTCATAAAAATTGCCTTCCTAATGTTAGGTCCACAAATGTCCGCTCTAGTTTCACCATCAGTTTGTGTGGTACCATTTGTGAATCAAGGTTAAGTTACGTGGGTTGCTCTAACGAGTTCACTCGGAGGCCTTGTGGCGCATTGTGATACCCTTAGATGTGTCACTTTCCATTAAAACAACCGATTTGACTTTATCTAACAGTAAGGTTGATTATTCGACTTTATGTATAAACTTGGAACCCTGATCTTTCTCTCCACACACGCATTAGCACATATGAAGAAAGCATAAATTTCCGCCTGAAAGTTTGAGAGATATTTTCTACGAATCTTAGGTCCACAAATGCCAGCTCATTGGTTTACCATCAGTTTGTGTGGTACCATCTGTGAACCAAGGTTAGGTTACATGGGTTGCTCTCTAGTTAGCGAGTTCCCTCGGAGGTCTTGTGGCGCATTGTGATACCCTTATAATTGCCATTCACTTATGTTGGGAGTTTGTACATAAAAGAGAATGGTTTCCCTCCCTAATTGAGTTAACTACGTGGTTCACGAGGTCTCCGTGAAAACCAGTCGATATCTATCTTCTATCTTCAATATATATATTCAGACTAAACGTCTGAACCGATTTTATTAAAATTTTCACAGCGTATTCCTGTATGTCTGAAATAGGTAATAAATAGGCTTTTTTGAAATTCCAAGTGTGGCCATGCCCATATTAAGAAAATATTAAATCCGCATATTTTAGAAGATAATATAACAGTTGGAGTCCTCAAATTTTGTCGGAGCAACTTTAGTGTCAATATAATTATTTAGGACAAAAAGTAGGCGGACTAGCATTAGGGGGCGTGGCACCTCCCATATAAATTAAATACAAAAAAACGTTTATCTTGGAAACTATTACAGTTAGAATCTTCAAATTTTGCACGAATAACTTTAACATCCATCTAAACATTTTGGGTAATAAATTGGCGGACTACCATGAGGGGAGCGGCACCTCCCATATTAATTAAAGACAAAAATTCGTTTATATGGAAAACTAATGGAACTAAATTCTTCAAATTTTGCACAAAGAACTTAAATATTCATCTGAACATTTAGGAGGAAAAAAAAGCGGACTTTCATCTGGGCGGTCTTGAAGCCCCCATATGAATCAAATAGAAAAATTTGTATATCTGAGAAACTATTAGAGCTAGAATCTTCAAATTTTACATGAAGAACTTTGAAATTCATGTGAACATTTAGAGCATAACGGGCGGACTTTCAATGGGGAACTTGGCACCTCCCATATGCATTAAATATAAAATTTCGTTTATCTGGGAAACTAATAGAACTTGATTTATAAAATTTTGCACAAATTAGTTTAGTATTCATCTGAACATTTTGGACTTTTATGTGGGGGCTTCAAGCTCAAATAGAAAAATTCGTATATCTGAGAAACTATTAGTTCTCATGAAGAACTTTGAAATTCATGTGAACATTTAGAACATAACGGGCGGACTTTCAATGGGTGGCTTGGCACAACATATATGAATTAAATACAAAATTTCGTGCATCTTGGAAACTCTTATATTATTAAAATTTTTTATAAATAGATAGAAACCGGCGAACTTGCAATAATTTGCTTGACATCTCTCATATGTAACATATTATAAATCTGGAAAACTATTGTAGTTATAATCTTCAAAATCGTTAAGTGGTATTTTTATTTATACATATTCCTTTTAGGGTAGCAAAGCACACTGGGTATAGCTAGTTTCTAATAAAACCCATCATATTTACTAGTGATGCATCTCTGTGACAGTCCATATCATGGGAAAGAGCTCTACCAAGATAGAGCAGTATGTGCTCCTGTAAGGTTAGGCAGTCACATAGAAGGTGTTGTACCGATTTCTCTTCTACAGTAGCTATAATGTGGCTAGCCCATACCTTCCGACATATGTGCAATCATACAGTGACCAGTAATTATACCCGTTAGAAGTCTAATCGAGTTCTTACTAAAAGACAAGAGAGTCCTAGTACTATCCTTTGTCAATGTGGCCACAGTTGTCTCGATATTCTACAAGTAGTCATATTTGACCACCTGAGTTCCGTCTCACTAAAAGCTCATTCATCTATCAATTCTGATAGGGTCACCAGGAGAGTGTGAATATCTCTTTACACAATAGTTAAGTCTAGGGACGAGGCTTTGGTTGCGCATTCATCAGATATTTCATTTCACCGGATGCCCTCATGTCCTGGAACCCATATCAATTCAACGTGATGTTGTATCAGTTATGCCAATGATTAAATACAACTGAAAAGACATTTCGACTTAATGTCGAAATGTTCTTTATTGTTCTACGAATAAATAAAGAATAAACCCTTTAAGGTAGAACCGTCTAGAGTCGTTTCAAAAAGTCTCAGAGATCTACGTCTAGTTAATGGCTCATGGAGGGTTTTTGAAGGGTTTTTTGGTTGTCCTTAGGCTCTACGCGATTTAAGCTATTTTTAAACGGCGTGCTGACGAAAACATTCATCCATATCAATCACTGTGAGTTGCAAGATCTTAGCTATGAATGACATGCAATAAATATTCAGGAGGTAATCTCCATACATAGAGATTATAAGGATCACTCCATAATTATTGTCACAAAAAAAAAACATGTTCTACGAAATGTGTACATCAACTTTCGCAACGTTCGATCACTAAATGAATGAAGTTCGCTAAACTTTCTCAAAACTTCAAAACAAAAAAGAAAACTCATTTATCATCAACGATACCGATACCACTGTGACTAACTAATAAACGCTAACATTTCTAGTTTAACAAATACTAATCATTTAATTTGGCACAAAAGAACGTGTGTCAAATTATAAATTTTTATACACAAAACATATTTGGCCAACAAACTAATTGTATGACTTGAAAAATTTTGATTTCTATCAAAAAACAACTTGTCAAGCTAACTGACAGTTTGAACATTAATCAAGCGTCATTAACAGGGTATGAGTAGTTAAAAATACTGGTAATTATGTAGATGATCAGTTGTTCTCAAATATGTAGTATATATTGTATCGGGCGATACTTAATGTCTAACAAAGTTAATAATTTAGACGTTAAAACAAATATATGAATAGATTTAGATTTAAATTTACATTGATAACTAGTAATTATTGAAAAAGGGGATTTAAATAAAATAATAAATATAAGTTAATAATAAATACAAAAAGATATTTAAACACAATTAATAGATATTAATTATATTCAGCCTACAGCATAATAGAGAGGTTTTGAATCAAGTTGTTTATTTCTGATATAAATTTATAGCAGATATTATCCAAACATTCTTTGGCTGGCGAAGTTCCAGCTTAAGTGTTGGGTCAAGGCATGGACAATTTAGACTAGTCTATAGACTAGACCATAGACTAGACTTGACTATAGACTAGACTATATACTAGACTATAGACTAGACTATATACTAGACTATAGACTAGACTATAGACTAGACTATAGACTAGACTATAGACTAGACTATAGACTAGACTATAGACTAGACTATAGACTAGACTATAGACTAGACTATAGACTAGACTATAGACTAGACTATAGACTAGACTATAGACTAG